TTTGGGAATTTTGTGACGTACGCGGCGTTCCGGGGAACGAAGACATTATTCTAATTCGTAAACTCCACTCATTGGCCTTTCGTTCCTATGGGATTGGACGCTCCCCCTCCACCGGAAATTGGGAGATGAGAAAGTCGGCGTGAATCAACGTTTATACTCTCACTTATATTCAACATCGTAGATGATAGAAATGATCGTCGAGATGATGGGAAAAAATGAGACAGTAGTTTTCGTCGAATAATGGAGTTATCGAACCCCGAAATTGAAGACTTGATATTTCCGGAATTCCTGTCATTTTCCTCGTTGGAATCACCTATCAAGGTGTCCCGGGGTGACGGCGAGGTGTCAGGGGAGAATGGGATGAAATGAGAATAGCGAGTGCAAACGAGAAAATAATGAATGAATTCTCAGTTTCAATGGAAGTCAAGGCATATTGACGCGCTCAATGGACAATGAACACTCTCCTATCATTCTCGCTAACAACGTTATCTGGGTCGAGTTTACAGTCAAGATCAAGGATCGTATTACTCTCGCTCACTCTCGGAATGAGTTTTCATTTCCTTTTTCAAAATACGAGTTTCAGGTTTTATTTCCTTTCTTGATATTCAACGATCTCTTCGTTTTTTAACGGTGCACTTAATTTTTTATGAAAACAGTTCCACAAGACTTGGAAATTTGTTTAATTTGCAGTTACTATTGCAATTTAATTCTCAATGTTGTGGGGGTTAATTCAATTTGAGATCGCACTGTTCACGAAAGTTCCCGTTCATTTAGAAAATTTTAATTTCCAATGAATGGCGAATTCTGTAGAATAATTTCTTGGATTTTTATTATTTTCAATAATTTTGTTGTCGTATGCACCGGGAAATTATAATTTCATTGAATATTCAATGAAGTTACGTTACGTTAAGTTGAATTTCATGTAAATTTAGTGTTGCTAAAAATTTTAATTTTTTTTATTGAAAATTTCAAAAGTAATTTTCTAACCGTCAATTTTCCATCGTTAATTGACAAGTACTGGGTAGGATTTTATTTTTTAACGCGGAAGCACAAGAGATACACTTGATTTTAATTGTATAATTACCTAATATTTTAATTTTTTAATTGACATTTTTATGTTTGATGAAATCTCGTTTTTTTATTCTGTTGAATATTTTTGGATGAAATTGCAGGGAATTTCAGGGATTTTTTTTTTCAATTTTCATTGAAAATCCATAATTTGATGAAAAAATAACTGGAAACTATAAATTTCAGTTCAATTATTCCCCGAAAATTGATTGAAATCAGGAAAATTGAGATAAACATATTCTTGAATTCCCAATTATTGGAAAAATCGAGTGAAGTTTGAGATTTTAGGATTTTTCCTACCCTAAATCGAATTTATCTGGTTGTCAATTCCAATTTTAGCAGCTCAAAAATTTTGAATTCCATTGAAGTGATTTTCCCCCTTAAATCCAATTAATGTTGCTCTCCTAAAAATCCCTATTGAACTCCCGCCACGAAATTTCAATTTTCATCCAACAATGCATTCGCAAAGAAACCAATTAATTATAAATTGTTGAGATGGGATATATTTCAACAAGGACGTATAATTATATCAGGAGTTGCGAAGAAAATAACGACGCTAGATATGCATTCGAAAGCCAGAGAAATCGACGATTCCAAACGGATAAAATGAAGTTAATCTCCGACATCAGCCTCTCGATTAAAGATCCATCCTCTTCACGATGAGAACAAACCGAGAGTATTCGATTCCCAATTTTTTATTATCCACAACGATTAGAATGACAGAACGACAAAAATCGCGTAGCGGTATGTGCGCCAATGCTCGACTCGCAGCCATAAAATTAGTCACCCATCATCTTCAGACTTGTGGGTGACTTTCACCGTGAAGTCGCGTCGCTCCACTTGCCACATTCGCGCTGGCAACTCGAGCGCTACCAAAAGTTTACGGAAATTATGTCTCTCCGCGTTCTTATGTACATCACACATCAACGCATCATCCGGTGGATTCTGAATAAATCAGGGTAGAGCACCCCAGGGCGATCCTTGAACAATGAAATTTCGGGAGGAGTTTTACGCTCAAATGAGTTGACATTCTCCGGTGATTCGGGATATCTCGCGCTACGCCTGTCCGAACTTTTCGGGAAAATTACATTGTCTTCGTTATTTCGATCGTGTTATGTAGGAATTGAGACGAATTGGCTTTTTCCGGTTTATTATTTTGCTGAATTGTTTCTTATTCAGTATTTTTGAAATAACATATGTCAATATTTGACAAATATTTTTTCCTTTCAATTATTATTCATTCCAAAAATATTTTGTTGAGAACTAATAAACTCATATGAATTATTCATTTCATAAAAATGCATTTTATGAATATTATTTTATGAATATTCTTTTTATTTTGAAGTAAATGAAATATAAAAAATTTAAAGTTTATCAATTTATTTCAATGAAATTGTCTCAATTGTTTGAATATGTCTCCCCATCTTCTTACGTACATCACACATCAACCCACCATCCGGTGGAGTCTGAATAAATCAGGGTAGAGCACCCCAGGGCAATTCTTGGAACAATGAACTTTCGTGGAAAGTTTTATACTCAAATCAGTTGACATTCTCCGTTGTTTTGGGTAATGACGCGCTACGCCTGCCTGAACTTTTCGGGCAAATTACATTGTCCTCATGTCATTTAGATCGCGTTATACAGAAATTGAGACGAATTCCCACTTCCGGTTTATTATTCTACTGAATTTTTTCTTATTCAATATTTTTGAAATAACATTTGTCATTTCAACTGTTATAAATGCAGTTTCATCGCATTTTGCGAATATTTCTTCTTTTTATTTTAAATAAAATAAAATATAAAAAAATCAAGGGGAGTATTAATACATTTGAAAGAAATTTGAAGGGTTCATTAATTAATTTCAATGAAATTGTCCTAATTGTTTTTTCTTTTCACTTCAGATGAGATAAAGCATAAATGAATAAACGTGAACGTAAATAAACACATTTGAATGAAATAAAACGCATTGTCATCTGAAATTTTTCTACTCATTCCAGAAATATTTTATTGAGAATTAATAAACTCATGAATTAGTCATTCCGCATTTACATAAAATAAATAATTCATGAATTCCAAATAAATTCTCCATGAGAATAAAATAAAGGATAATTGCATGTTAATGAACTCTTTCTCTTCGCCAGCTAAACAATAATTTCATTTCTTCGTCTTCCTTTGCATGAACGGAACATTTGAGAATATTCAAAAAAACTATAATTGAATGACAACTTCATCGCGAATTATTTCAATCAGCCCGTTTATTTGCTTCGAGTGGGCAATTCCTCTGGTTGTACATGCGGATAAAATCCATTTTGCAAAAACAAATAAATGAAATTGATAGAATAAATGAATTTTTCATCAGTGACAATTTCATCTGTGTAATTTCCTGAATTTACGTAACAAATCCCGGAAATATTGATTGTAAAGAGCGAAGCGGGGACTTTCATGGATAAAATTACGTAACAATAAAATTTCCGAGAATAATTTTCATGGATTAAGAACGAACAGAGAAGAACGGGAATACCTGTTGCCATTACTATCACGATAATGATTTCAACCGTCAATTACGCCTCCCATTACCCGGTTTTACCGGGCCACCAGACTATGGGAATATAATGATAACATCGGGTTTTACATTTGTGTGTGAGTACTGATATTGCTGTGACATTAGATAAATCGTTTTGTGGAATTAAAATTCAACCCTCGTGGAGGTAATATCAGTGTCATTATTTCGACAGAATACGTGGATCCAACGGAAATGTGTGGATGCAGTTTATCGGCCGCACGGCCATGGTGGCGTCGATTCGTATCAGGATGAGTGATGAGTTTGACGGGAATTAGCGGTTTTATTACATCAATCAGAATTATTTGAAAGGGACATTGAACGGTGGTGGTGCGTTCATGATTTATGAATCCGTTATCATTTCTCGATGACGAGGAAAGCACGGCGAAATTATTTGGAATCTTTAAAAAAATCATAAGAAATCCCGGATTATATTTTCCGGGCCGCTCAGTTAATTATGGAACAATTAAAAGTAAAAGTTGTTCTGGTAAAAGATGAACCAGATATACAAGCTCCAACTCGGAAACAATGAGAGGAAAATGGAGAAACATTATGCTCACGGTCAAAATCGAAAGGCTTATTAGGTAGCTTCAACTTTCCCCAGCCAAGTTGTTGCATGAGATCAACGTATCTCTGGACTAATTTTCCGTAATTTTTATTACGTTATTTTTCCACAAGCATATCATCAGAGAAAATGATCCTGTGACTTTGCACTTTGTAAACATTGATTATGAGCCCATTGACCCACATATTTCACCGCTCCGCATGCTCCAATTTCCATGCAAAATTACCAGGATATAATTTGATAAATTTTCTCATTGTGTAGCGGGGAATTGCTCGCCTACGAGTGCAGGAGCGAACGGAAGAAGAATAAAATATGCTTCTAATTTCGGCACGCGTAGAGAGTGTGACAATTTTTTGAATTAGGGAAATTTAAATGCACGTGGTGTACTGTTTTGTGCGCTTGTCGTAGAGGAGTGCAAATCATTGCAATGGTAGAATGAAAGATCATTTTTTTTATTGGGAATGAAGTTGAACAATTGTCTGGCTTTAATAACGGTTAAATAGTTATATTTTTTATAATCTCGCTTCGCTCGCCAACCCCGGGGGGCTTCGCCCCCTCGCTCGCTTCGCTCGCTCCCCTCCAATCCAACTGTCAGCCCCCCCACCGCGTTTGACCCTGGGACACCCTCCTCCCTTCTAACTCCCCCGACCTTGGGCACCCCCTGACCACCTCCCCCCCACCTTTAGGCGTCGCCTGAATTGTCTTAAATTTTGCCCTTATTTTTTTATTATATAGAGAGATATAATATAACATAACATATTATATTTTATTAATTTTTTTTATTGATCTCTCCAAATGAATTTTCAGTGGCAAATGATAGTGCTCACCCTCACATGCCTCTCCCCCGTCCGCTCCTCAGACGAAGATCTGTTGGATCGTGCGGCCGCACAATTGACCAGGCTCTCGGCATTCAGAAGAACGAAAGAGCCCCCAACAATCCCCACCGACGATCCAGGCCTCGCTGAGGCGCCGGCGAATGAACAAACCCCGGAGGACAATCAGAACCTCCTCATGAATGCTGATGCCATGAAGAGGATTGACGAGCTGGCGCAAGCTGCTTACAATCTCTACAAAGATCCCAATTACGACGCCATGATGCAGAGGATAAAGAGATCGGGAAGTGGGGATTTTGTCTCGGGAATTGCGAATAAAGTTGTTGGCGGAGTGGTTGGAGCTGTTGGTGGACTCTCCAGTGGACTGTCCGGTGGCTCCAGTGGTCCGCAGGCTCATGACTCTTATGGGGCACCTGTTGAACCGGTAACGGAATCCTCCGCGGATTTATATTGAAAAATTCTGCGGATTTTCTCGGCATTTCTGTGTCTATTTTTCGTCCTCTTATTAATTGAATCGAATAAAGAACCTCCCAGATGAATCCCATAATCCCTATTCTGACCCTTGCGACCCTTAATCTGAGCTTTGTGACCTTTATTTGAACATGACCCTTAGTCTGAGCCTCATGACCCTTAATCTGATCCCTTCCATCCTTAATCTGACCCTTGTAACCCTTAATCGAACCGTTGTGACCCTTATCCTAACCCTCACGAGCCTTAATCTGACCCCTTTGATCCTTAATCTGATCCTGGTGACCCTTATTCTGACCCTCACAGCCCTCATGACCCTTAATAGATCCCTCACGACCCTTAATCTGACCCCTTTGCCCCTTAATCTGATCCTCGTGATCCTTATTCTGATCCTCTTGACCTTTTTATGACCCGTATGACCATTATTTTGACTCTCGTAACCTTTATTCTGACCCTTATGACCTTATTCTGACCCTCATAACCATTATTTTGACCCTTATGACCCGTAATTTTGGAGTCTTGATTTCAAGTACCAAATTTTTATCACCAGAAGTCGATTCGGATTTTTATAATATAAAGAGATATCTCAATGAAATAAATTGCATGAAGATATCAAATTTCATTAATTTTTTCTATAAAATATTTTTGATTCAACATTTCTGCATAAAAAACGCGCAGCAAAGCTGTGGAATTTTTCAAATACAAATCCTGTAGAAATTCAATAGAATTTTCTAGCGAATGAGGGTTTCAAAAAATTTTCTATTCCTTATATTCCTAGATAACGACGGGAAAATCATTTCCAGTTGATGAAACAGGTTGAATCAATTTCAAATGTCATTATCAATATCTCCCCTTTACTCCACGCACGACCAGTTGAAAAATCGGAATCATCAACTCGAGTTGTATTTCTCGATGCGTGAAACTTTTAAAAATGTTGAGAATGGAACGTTAGTGATAAGGAAATATAATATATCCTTCTCACGGACTGAATCTGTGGAAACAGGAGAATATACGGAACTGCGTGTCGTAGTAGTGATCTATTATCTCTCCTCCAAAATGTTTTCCAACAAAGGATATTTGTCTTGCCTCACACAACCCCTCTGGGACGGTTGATTATCAAAGGCAATCCCTTTCTTCACCTCCATTGACGATTTCTCCATTCACTTCACTGGAAGATTTCCTATGAATGAATTTCTAACCCGGAAGATAATTTAGATTTTCTATACAATTTATCCCGTTGAGATATTTTCTATAAAAATCCCTTGGATTAAATTTTCAAAGGGTTTTACTCTGAATTTTTTTCTTCTCGTTAAAAAAATAAACAGAAGCACTAAATTGCAATATTTGAAATTTATGAGTATTTTCTATAAATAATTTATAAACAATCAATTTTCCACCATAAAAATCATGTGTTCGGGATCGTAACAAATTTATTCATATTCCGAATTTTACCAGAACTCGATTTCATGCCTAAAAAATAAGCGTCCAAAAGTTTAAACAATTTCAATTATTCATTTCAAAAACAACTAATGTCAAAAAAGATAATTCTGTGCAATAATGGAATAAGTTGCCTAAAAAAATCGAATTCCATCATTTTTTTCTACAAAATATTTTCCATTAAACGTCTCTATTGAAAAAAATTAACAGAAAGTTCAATAGATCTAGCGAATTGGCAAGGTTTTTCCATGAAATATTGCCATACGTCTTGTATTTTGTGGAAATCACCCCAAAGTTTCTCCACTCGCCGAAAAAAATGAATCCCATTCATTAAAATTGAGTGAAAAAAATGTTAAATTACTTCACGACGTTGTAATAATTTTTCTGAATAATCTGTTGACAGTACGGACCAAAGCAATTCAGCATTTTCGACTTTAAAAAAGCCATTCTAAACACTGTCCTCCAAGCACTAAAGGCCCTAGCTGGTGGTGCATTAGCATTGAAGGGCCAGCTGATTAAAGGTGGGGGTTTCGTTGTGCAAACCAAAGGGCGCGTTATCTCCTCTGCGGGTGAGGCAATATCCTCTCTCGGGTCTAAGATAGCCAGCAGCGCTGTAATTAGTGCACCGAAACCAGTGTACGGTGCACCAGGATACTCGTACGATGCTCACCACACACAAGGTTCGATTGAACTTCCGTAATTACTTGAACTTTAACTGAAAGCGAATTCTATTGAGTTTACCTTACAGATGTTTCATACGATGGACCACCACCAAGTCCAGATGCAACTTATGCCGATCATAATGTTTATCACGGCCCGTACGGCAGCCCCTCATCCGGTATGTTGGCCCATTTAATAATAAAATATTCTGAAGGGGTTTAAAAAATTTTTTCCAGAGACTTCAGAGAAATCGTTCACTGAAAATTGATGAATTAAAAGGAAAATACTGATGATTGAATACTTTAATGGCTTTAAACTTATCATCCATGTTAATTATGGAGACAAGATGAAAATTAAAGGGATTCGTAATTTTTTGAAATAATTCTCTCCCGGGAAAATAGCGACTTCAGGACAAAATGACAGACGTCTTTTGAAATTCTCCCGTGGGATTCGTCATATTGAAGAAAATGTGAAGAATTCAATTGTCAAATGCACTTTATTACTGAATAATTGAGGTAACGAAAGCGCGGACTTTTGTCTAGTGAAACCAAAGAATCTTTCTTTAATTAAATCTTTCGCTCCAGTCTCTCAATTCACCAGATAAACGAGCGGACAATTACTCAGTATTTTTTAATATTAACCGACACTCGCCATTGATAATATTAACAAGAGATGGAGTTATCTGGGGGAGTAGAAAAATTCTGGACATTCATTTCCGTTCTGTCGACTAACTTCCGCAGTAGGAATAATTAACTCTTGCGTTTAATTAAGACTCTCCATCAAGCTTACGTGAATACACGCTAGAAATGAATCGTGTAAATCCCGTAAATAACTCGATAAATTAACGCATGCTGGGGGTTCTACTCTAACCAGAATTATCACCTCGTAATTGATTTATTAACATTTCTGAACTCCCTCCATCTGTCCATTCAAGGAATCCGAGGAAATTGATGTGGGATTATCATTTGATTGGATCATAATGGATAGTCTTTATCTCTCGTTTGAATCCGTGGAAATTTCTTTCATTTCTGCGGAATATACATCTGAAAGAGAATAATTATTGAGTATTTTGCAGTCATAGCTATTCCTTTCTTTCAGAGAGGAGGGGCTGGTCCTCTCTTCTCCTAGTCTCCCATTTCCTTCTCTTTTTCCCTTTTTATTTCCTCTTTTCTCCACCGCCTTCTGCCATCAACTCCTTTCTCCTTTCTCTATCCTTCTTCCCAGCATTCTCCACCTCTCTTCATTATTGATTAAAGTACTGGAGTGCTTATTTTCTATTCTGTACACTGTCTTTATTTTTTTTTGTATATTTTTTTGTATCCTCCGCTCTCCCTTATGTCCCCCGTATCGTTCCCAGTCCCTGAACTCCAAACGTCTCCTCTCAGAAGGCAAGCGCGCTACCGAAAGAGCCCCGGCGGCTCCTCAATTTCCTCCAAGTTCCATCCTCCCAAAAATAAAAACCCCATAACGAATAAACTAAACCACTAAAACTGCTCCTAAAAAATAATAGATTTAAACCCTAAAGATTTAAACTCCGAGAGTAATGACTAACAAATGTCGACCGGACTGACTGACGAACTTTACAGACAACCCAGCGGAGGAGCCGGGTCTGCTAATAGTGAAAGACGCCAAGCCCGGAGAGTCCCCTCACCCGGAGGATCACCGCCACAACTCCATTCACGAGGACAACCCTCCCATCCAGGACGAGCATCACCACAACCACATTCACGTCGAGACCCACCCCCCGGACGCATCGCAGAGCGTGGGGAGCTTGGAGGAGAGCTTTGGAGGACCGCCCAAGGGCTCAACCGTCACGAAATTCACTGGAGTGGTGACTGGAACATTTGAGCCCATTCAGAGTCATCAAACGGCTCAGCAAACTAATGGCAACGATCATTATTACGTTGAGCATAAGGAGCAGAGTGTTCAGGTGCCTCAGCACGATGCGCCGCAGGCTCTGAGTCCGCCAGCCGCATCGGACTATCAAGGACATCATCAGGGACCCCCGCAGGATGTCAATCATCAGAATAATCAGCAGGCATTCCAGGCGATTCAGGCGGGCATCAATCCTCACTTAGGAATTAATTTTCCCAACGATCAGCCCCTGAATTATCAGAATCAACAGCATAACGGACAGCAATTGAGTTATGATAATCAGGGATTTGTCGGGAATTATCAGGACCCGAGGAGTTACGGATTCAGTGGACAAGTGGAGCCCCTGAAAGTCCCCATTTTCGAGCACCAGAATACCCTGGATTCCGTTAACCTCGGGGTTCTCGGTCTACCCAACGCCTACGGGGTGCCCATGCACGGAATGGATCTCGCTGGAGCCTACGGGGTCTGGAAGAGAAACGGAATCTACAGGATGAAGAAGGGAACCTACTGGAGGTACCGAGTCAGCGATCCAAAGATCCACAGGATATAGACTAATTTGTGATTTCATTCGTGTGATGATGGTATTTTTATCGCTTTCGTGTTTTTTGTTGTGGAACATCGAGGGATTTTTTTTCTACTTTGTAAATATATGTATATTTCGAGTTGTTTTCTAATTTGTGTTTTTTTATTTTTGGGGGTTCATGGTTTAAGGGAGTGCGGAAGGGAGAGGAGGCGGTTCAAGTGGGGAGAACAGAATTGGTAGTTTTTGGTTGCGCTGTGAGCGACGCGCTTTTTCCGATTTTTTTAATTAGGCGCAGTGAAGCCGCAGACAAATTGAAAAAATTTGAGATCTCATTTTGGAGTGTCTAGAAGCCCTATCAATAAAAATATCCGTCTAAAATATCATAAGTAGTTGGATTTTCAGATTTTTATTACGAAACTACGCGCCGTGTGCCGTGTATAAGGCGAATTTTCAGAAAAACCTGGCAACTTTGAACTGAATATATAATCAAGGGTAACAATGAATATAAAAAATCTCACGGGACTTCTTCAAGTGTACGATCTAGATCACTCTTCATTTTTTCTGATTTTTCCTAGATCTTTCAAATTTATCGTCATGTCGATTTATGGTGATGCGGCGCGACCAACGTCGTTCATAATTTTCGCGCGACCAACGGAGTATTAATTCAGTAGCGAAGCGGTAAACCGGGTTAANGACAAGTGGAGCCCCTGAAAGTCCCCATTTTCGAGCACCAGAATACCCTGGATTCCGTTAACCTCGGGGTTCTCGGTCTACCCAACGCCTACGGGGTGCCCATGCACGGAATGGATCTCGCTGGAGCCTACGGGGTCTGGAAGAGAAACGGAATCTACAGGATGAAGAAGGGAACCTACTGGAGGTACCGAGTCAGCGATCCAAAGATCCACAGGATATAGACTAATTTGTGATTTCATTCGTGTGATGATGGTATTTTTATCGCTTTCGTGTTTTTTGTTGTGGAACATCGAGGGATTTTTTTTCTACTTTGTAAATATATGTATATTTCGAGTTGTTTTCTAATTTGTGTTTTTTTATTTTTGGGGGTTCATGGTTTAAGGGAGTGCGGAAGGGAGAGGAGGCGGTTCAAGTGGGGAGAACAGAATTGGTAGTTTTTGGTTGCGCTGTGAGCGACGCGCTTTTTCCGATTTTTTTAATTAGGCGCAGTGAAGCCGCAGACAAATTGAAAAAATTTGAGATCTCATTTTGGAGTGTCTAGAAGCCCTATCAATAAAAATATCCGTCTAAAATATCATAAGTAGTTGGATTTTCAGATTTTTATTACGAAACTACGCGCCGTGTGCCGTGTATAAGGCGAATTTTCAGAAAAACCTGGCAACTTTGAACTGAATATATAATCAAGGGTAACAATGAATATAAAAAATCTCACGGGACTTCTTCAAGTGTACGATCTAGATCACTCTTCATTTTTTCTGATTTTTCCTAGATCTTTCAAATTTATCGTCATGTCGATTTATGGTGATGCGGCGCGACCAACGTCGTTCATAATTTTCGCGCGACCAACGGAGTATTAATTCAGTAGCGAAGCGGTAAACCGGGTTAAGTCGATTTTTCCTTTTGGCCATTTTTTGATGAATATCTCGGAATCTAAGAGAGATAGCAAAATTTTGCTCATGACCTTTTTTGTAACCCTCAGTTGGCTCTACAAAAAAGGTTATGACAACAATTTTTGTATCTCTTTTAGATTCCGAGATATTCGTCAAAAACTGGTCAATAGTTAAAATTGACTTAACCCGGTTTACCGCTTCGCTCCTGAATTGAAGGGGTCAGGAGATGCGGTAGAGCCTATTCGGCTAAAAAGAGCTCCGCAAACTTCAATTCAAGAAAACGCAATAAAAATTTTGTGTTCATAAAGAATTTCCATCACGTCTTGATTGAGTTTGGGACTGTCCCCAATTTCATTAAAAAAATTTCAATTATTTACAAAGATGTGAACGCGTGGACAAAATTTTCTCAATTCACAAAGTTTAGTAGTTCACGGGCGCTAGAGGTGAGCGCATAGTACCAGCAATCGGAAATATCAGTTGCATAGTATTCTTTCTGTGATAAAAAAATCCAACTGTTTAAACGGATGGCTTTAAATGTAATTAACGTGATTAATTAAATTATTCAATGAATGTTTAAAAAGGAGTGAGATTGCGTGAAAAAACACATCGTGGATCTGTTTAAAAAATAGTGGTCGAGTGATCGCTAAATTTGGAAAATGGTGAAAAATCAGGATGCTTTTTTTTCATGTGAATTTGTTATATGCAGACGGATGGATTCCATTTTACTGAGATTTATTGGTCGTAATGCTCGCGCATCTTCGTAATTATCGGATATAGCTCAATTTCCACAAAACTAGTTGTTAATACACGGCAATTTCAATGAAAGTCACATCAATAATCAATTGTTGTGCGTTGGAATCGAGCGAGTGTAACGACTTATGTGACTTTCATTTTTTATTCCTCCCCTTGATTTCAACGAGAGCATTAACAGATGTACACAACAATCCATTTCAAGGCAGGAGAAAGCACGAACGAATGCATTGAGCATTCTGTCTCCACCGGTGAATCCTCAAGTGTCATAACTGAGAACGTCCGGTGTTTAATGCACTTTTAATTTCTTTTTTATCACTTGAAGAGAGAACCTCAAGCTACCATGCACCTGACAGTCAATTAATTCGGTCAAGAGCTAGGAAGAATAGCGAAAGAATGGCGAATTTCAATGGGGAAAGTCCACGCGATTTAATTTCAACTTTTGTAGGATGAATCTTCTATTCGGGGAAGCGAACAATATGCAGAGACTTCTCTATCTCAAAGGTTCGAATCGGGGAAGCAGTCTCATCAAGTGGAAAAAGATATGCTTTAGCTCGAATGATACGATTATTAGATCTGGAATTAAATTCGAAGAAAAGATTTATATTGCAATGAAGACGTTAAAATGCAAGAAATCTGAATATTTCGGCCGCATAATTCAGTTCACTAATTACCCTGATTTTCTATTAATTTCCATTTAATGATTCAGCTGAAATAGACAATTTCCAGATTTTTTTAATCAATTCAGTAGTGAAGCGATAAAACGTTTCGACTTGGCTTTGTTTTCTAAAGATATCTCCAAACCTAACGGAGATAGCGAAATTTTTGTGAAAACCTTTTTTCTGCAAAAACTTGCGAGCTACAAAAAAGGTTTTAACAAAAATTCTGCTATCTCCCTTTTATTCCGAGATATTCCTTAAAAACCTGCCAATAGTGAAAATCGAGTTGATTTTTTTTGCCTTTGCCGCTGAATTCAATTTTCCCTTAAATAAAAAACATTCCGATAGACGAAATGTTCACACGCCTGCGCTCCCCCCGAAATTTCCCACAGAGCGTAAACAGCATACGTACGCTTCGTGTTTAAACAATGCAACCCGCAATGCAGCACACAATATCGAAAAGCAAAAAGTAAACAAAATATTACTGCTCGATTCTCCTGGTATTGTTTGTTTCAGTTATCCACACGTACACGTACTATCCATACCGATACAATCACAGATATCGACCCCACCCTCACTACAAGTATTTCGGGTAGAATTCACACACCACAGGAAATCCAATATCTTCAACAATTGTTGGAAACGTACGACTAGTTAAGAGGAAAATTTGGTTCGACATGCCCCGAGGAATACTGAGCGCAGTAACAAGTGGAACGTGTCTGGAAGAGAGTGATGCTGTGTCGATACTCGCTCGGACTCCAAAAACTTTTCAACTTCACTCAAAGTATAAGTGATGAGTTGCTTTGTAAGTGCTCAGTGAATTTCAATGGACTAAGTGCTCTTCCATTAGCCACTTGGAGTATTCCAAGTCTAGAAATAGTTTAATGATAATTCAGCAGCGAAGTGGTAAAAGGGTTTAAGTCGACTCATCTCGCACTTGAGTTTTTGAGGAATATTTCCGAATCTAAGGGAGATAGCGAAATTTTTGTAATGACATTTTTTGTAGCTCTCAATCGGCTCTAAAGGAGGTTACAAGAAACTTTCTGCTATCTCCCTTAGATTCCGAGATATTGATTGCAAACTGGTCAGTAGTCACAATTGACTTGAACCCTTTTACCACTTCTCTACTGAATTCTATTTATTACAGATGTTGTCTCGTTTTTCTTCGTAAGGAATGTTATTTTTGGCCATACGATTCCCCTCATTATATGAAGCTGAAATTATTGTTAATAATTAAATTTTTAAGGATGATTTTTAAGAATGTGAGAGGCAAACAATCATGTGTACAAACGTTTTGTAAATTACTGTTTTTTTAGGATTAGAAGCATCAATGTTCGAATTTGGATGACATGTGCCTCACTAACGTCTGAGGAATTACGAATGAGCGAAAAACCGAATTTTAAAAAATCATTTAGTGTAAACGTTTTTCAAGTTTGTACATGATTTAAAAATATTTTTACACTCCTAGATCTGCCGCAATTGAATCTGCCGCTGGCGAATCTTTCGGTAGTTTCAGCTTCATTCTCATTATTTAAATATATTTAAAGAATGCACTGAGAGAAGAACAATCATGTTCTCAAACACGTCTTGCTTGATTGTATATAATTGCCAAGATCGAAATTCTGGCATTTAAACGCGCGAAAATTTCATTCATGATTGAGCGCTCTGCTTTCAACTACAGAGTAGTTGAAAAAAAATGTATAGGGGATGTGGGGCAAAATGGACTTGGTGTTTTTTTCAATTTTCCGAACTGATTAATTTCCCAATTGAGATCAGTTTTGGTCCGTTATAGACGGAAAGAATTGTGAAATCCACGGGAAAGATTATCCCATTTCATGAACGATTCAATGAGTCATTAACATTTTGAAAATAGTTATTGAGTGACCATTTGCCCACTTGGGATGGAAACACTGAATACTACAGAGAAGAGTAATTTTCAAAAATATTTACACATTTATTTATTTAAAGATTTCAATTAGATATAAATGCTAACAATGTACAGCATCACATTACTCCCTTTACCATGAATAATCAAAAATTTGTAAAGATCATTTGTAGGTGAGGTTTCACTGTAGTGATTAATATTCCTATTGATCTGCATTGATCGAGAAATAAAACAGTCACATGTTGATTAATCCCAGAGATGCATAGAGAGGTAAATGAGACGTCTGGAAAAAAATTTAATTCGCTAATTCGGATGATTAACCGTCCTCTCTTCACTGAATAACAGTTAATGTCATCTCAGTTGACTCCTCCACTCATTTAGTTTTTAAAAAACCAACTGAAAATAATATTCTCTTCAATTTTTTTTATTCTTCTACAATTTTATGGGCAGATATTTTCAATGAAAAAAACAATCAGCCCCACTTGGAAGATAAACACCTCAGGACACATTATAGAAAATTGTCGATGTTTTTTTTTCATCATTTATCACATTTTTCCATTTTATTTTCTCATTACTTCATTTTTTTGCAAAGAAAATGTACTGGGGACGAATGAATCATGTCGATAAAAAAGTCTAAAGGAAGAAAAAAATATTGATTCAATGAATTGTGAGACATCTCTCGGGAAATTAATTTCCAAGAGTGATAAATCGATCGCCCCTCCCTCGTGGTGAATGATAAATTTCTAATGAATTTCATCTGCCGTTTTTTCTCATAATTCACCTCGAGTTCTGGCCCATTAATCCACTTATCTTTGAACCCCAAAATAATTCAAACGCTATTTCGTTTATAATTTTCACAGGTAAAAGGGCAAAACTTAAATATTACAATTTCCCCAAAATCAACTAGATTCAAATGTGATCAATTGAATAGCATTTAACAATATTTTCCCTTCAATTAAATTATTAACTTCAATGCCCCCTCTATTGTCCAAATGACCAAATTCCCAGTAATAAAATAAACTGACAACTAAAATTTCTACAAAACAATCTAAATATCATCTGTGATAACCCCCTCTTGGAGAAGTGAGGAGAAAAAAAAATCATAAATTTGTGGATAAATCTTGAGTATTGAAGAGACACCTTGATACAAGATTCCATAACACTCGGGATAAACAAATGAAGTAACAATTAAAAGGCTAAAACCTGTGCTGGATTGGCACAATCACCAATGGTCATTCTGTACATTGCCATTTCAGTTATTCCATGGTAATGGACGAAGGCAGCTGCTATCACTAGTACGTGGAATATTTGGTGGCTCTGGAACTAAAAAAAAATCATATTTTTTCGACTCCTTTACGGGAAATTATGTATTTTTAAAGAGGAATGAGGTATTTTTACCAAATAAAACTCTTTATCTGATATTTTTCTCCTCGTTATTTCATTTTTAACTAATAAAGTCTTTATTTTTATCAAGGAAAAATTTATTTATATAACAACACTGTGGGTGTTCAATGTCTTACGTAACTCAGAAAAAAAATAGTTGAATATCTTCAAGATTCAATTAATTTTTTTTAATATTTTGAAATCTCAAAGGGATAATATTTTTGTTTTATGCAGGAAATTTCCTCTTTTTTCTTCAGATTCAGAAATGTTCATTAAAAACTCGGGGAAAAATTAGAAAAATATATATAATTACTATTTTAATCTTGCTGAATTGCATTTTCTTACCCAAATGTCAAATTTCCCTGGAAAAAATCGTTCTGGAACTCTGAGTGCGTAGAACAATGCTCCTAACACATAGAGACACCCCATGAGGATGAGCCAACCGAGAGAGGCTTGACTGATTGCCTTGAACCAGCCTTCAGCAATGGCATAATGTACTGCAGGTATCACCTGACAGAGGAAAAACAATTCAATTAATTCTGTATAATTATCATGAACCTGCATTGCGAGGAAAAAAATCAACAATGATTTTTCACTTATTATTCATTTTTATCCATGATTGAATTTTTTTCTATGTATCATTGCTTTTGTATGAAATTTAATAGATTTGAAATTTGAATGGAGAAAAGAATGCAAAACAACTAAATGAGTTGATAGATCAGCTAGAGTAGAATTGTTGACAATTTTTCCTCACCCCACTGAGGCCGAATCCCATAAAGACACCAGCTCTCAATGGCCGATAACTGGGCTCGCCGAATCTCTCCCAGAGTGACACAACAATGCTCGTGATACCAAGTGCCACAACGACAGACAGGTAAATGAGTTTGGGTTGATAATCGCAGTAGAAACCGTAATACAACCAGGGCACAAAACTACCCATTATGAGCATAGCGATGCCACAGTAATCGAGCTTTGAAAATAATTTTCCAACGCACTCACTGTGACAGTGAACAGTGTGAAAGGCGAAGGACATGCCAAGGCATATTATTGCACCAGCAAAAAATGTTGCAAATACAAGCTTCTCCTCGAATTGAATCTCCATGGGCGGTCGTGTTAGGAAGAATATTGCTATTCCTATGAAGGCTACACAACCTGAAATATTAACAATTCATTCATAATCTTCATTATTTTTTTTTCTGATGAAACATTAAACATTAGAACATTTGAAAAATGATCAAAATCTAGAAAAATTTGAAGAAAAAATTAAAGTTCTAACAGAATTATTTGAAAAATTATTTGATGGATTGAAATTATTTTTAAGAAGTTATTAAAATACTATCAACAATAAATTTTTTTGTTAATTTCATGTAAAATAGTATGAATACGATTTTTTAAGATGAAAAAAAATTAAAATTTAGAGAAAAAATCTTGAAAAATTATTTTTCCTTGAAATAATTTTCAATGATTCTCACCCAATAAATGAGTCCAGATATTTCCGGTCTCCGTGTGAATACGGAAGATACTTTTGAAACAAGCGTAGAAGGACGGCAATGGTGGACGATGTCCAGCATGTAGAAAATCGTTGTCCTGCAGCCATCTCGGTAGATTACGAAAATGACACTGCTTCCACGACGCTTCCCACACCTGTAACCAGTACTTTCAATACATTAGACAAATCGGGACAATATTTCGTGGGTTGAAGTAGTCAAAAAATGTTCCTAATCGCCTACTCAAACTGTACTACTCAGAGACGCGTCTACGGTGAAAATGATATGTAAAAATCCAATGATTTGTGATATATATCTCTCATGAACAATGAAAATCAATATTCATCACCTGGAGGAGAGTTCCTACAAAGGCAAATTCCTTCATCAAAAATGTGTTCACCCTTGGGATAAATTTACTCTATTTTTTTTCTTTTTTAATTAAAATTATCAATTGAGGGTCATTGTAAAATTGTTGACGTACCTTTCGAACAAATTCCTCGGCCTGCTCTGCAGCATTGTGAGCCAGAGCTCCAAGGTCAATCTCGTCACTAAGTACTCCTGCCTTCAGAACTTCTGTCATCTAAAATAAAAAATAAATAAGTGAAAAATTCGGGAATTGTAATTAACGCAAATGCCAACAAGACTTGGAAAACTGAATTTGGGACATTAATTTTTTTTAAGTAAAATTCTTTCGGCCTTAACTATTTATTGAAATTAATCAGAAATATTGGAAACGATGAGTACTTCACAATCGAGGAGATGATCGTCCTCAGGAGTGGAGGGAAGAGGACACCCAACTCCGTCCTCCTCCTCAGCCAGGCAGCTGGCATCATCGTCCTCCAGTAACTCTTTAACCTCGTGAAAACCTGGTATGTCACTGTTCAAGGAAACACGATCGCTCCAGGGGATACGGTGTCGGAGACCCAATTCATCGACTCCTGGGCTCAACGTTTCAATTTTCTCCTCCATTATCGCGTCCTCAACGTTTAACATTGTAAATTTACGATTTTCACTCGAATTTCCTGAAAAAGCAAACGCTTTAGTGAAAAAACATCATGAAAAACGGGGATAACCAAATTTATAATATTAAATTTAAGTCGACTTAACTCTTCGCTGAGTTTTTGAGGAATATCTCAGAATCTAAGGGGGATATCGAAATTTTTGTAATAACCTTTTCTGTAGAGTGAATTAAGAGCTACAAAAAAGGTCATAAGAAAAAATTTGCTATCTGCCTCAGATTCCGAGATATTCATTGAAAACTGACCAATAGGCAAAATCGACTTGAATCATTTTTTCGCTTCGCTACTGAATTGTGATTAATTTCAAGCATTTAAAATCAGTAATGAATTTCACGATTTATGTTCACTACTTTTATAACCAGCGAGCATTTTAAATGAATTTATCAGTGCTTATTCAGTTTTCAATTTGATAATTGAAACTGCTGATTATTTTGTTAATCACATTTTTCATAATCGTAGAAAAATAATTATTACTGTCGATTCCTGATGGAGGATACCCTTTTGAAGGCACGAGTCACACTGAATGTTCACGCAAAAACACTTTTTCATTTCATTAAAGAAATGGATTGAATGGACTGAAGTGCAGAAAGTTTTTCAGGTCACGTAGAAATTTCCGGAACTAATGTAATAATAATACTCGCCACTGGGATTTTCGTCTGATTCAATGTCTATAATTCATGAAGTTTCTAATTTGTGATTGCAGAGGAATGAAAAACATTGGAATTAAATTTCTATCCCGTGATATAATATCATTTTACACTCAGTAAAAAGAATACAAAAACTTACCAAAAGAATCAAGTAATCGTGGAGTGAAAATTAGTTCCAAATGTTTTGGACAAAAAAAAATTTTTTATTTCTGCATTTCTGGGGAAAGTGAGGGGCGCAGTGGCATTAGGCGGGCCAGAAAATGGAGAATCGACGATCACCCGGCGGAAAAATTTGATTTTGGCGAAAGTCGACTTTCCCCCCGAAAAAAGCCTAAATACGACATTTTGGCTCGGGGTGAAAAAAAAATTTTTTTTATTTCTGCTTTTCTGGGGCATGTGAGGGGCGCAGTGACATTAGGCGGGCGAGAAAATACAGAATCGACGTTGACTCGACGGAAAAATTCGATTTTGGCGAAAGTCGACTTTCCCCCCGAAAAATGCCTAAATATGGCACTTTGGCTCTGGGTGCAAAAAAAAAAATTTTTTTGTTTCTGCATTTCCGGGGCAAGTGAGGGCCTCAGTGGCATTAGGCGGGCCAGAACATACAGAATCAGCGTTCACCCGGCGGAAAACTTCGATTTTGGCGAAAGTCGACTTTCCCCCCGAAAAATGCCTAAATATGGCACTTTGGCTCTGGGTGCAAAAAAAAAAATTTTTTTGTTTCTGCATTTCCGGGGCAAGTGAGGGCCTCAGTGGCATTAGGCGGGCCAGAACATACAGAATCAGCGTTCACCCGGCGGAAAACTTCGATTTTGGCGAAAGTCGACTTTCCCCCCGAAAAATGCCTAAATATGGCACTTTGGCTCTGGGTGCAAAAAAAAAAATTTTTTTGTTTCTGCATTTCCGGGGCAAGTGAGGGCCTCAGTGGCATTAGGCGGGCCAGAACATACAGAATCAGCGTTCACCCGGCGGAAAACTTCGATTTTGGCGAAAGTCGACTTTCCCCCCGAAAAATGCCTAAATATGGCACTTTGGCTCTGGGTGCAAAAAAAAAAATTTTTTTGTTTCTGCATTTCCGGGGCAAGTGAGGGCCTCAGTGGCATTAGGCGGGCCAGAACATACAGAATCAGCGTTCACCCGGCGGAAAACTTCGATTTTGGCGAAAGTCGACTTTCCCCCCGAAAAATGCCTAAATATGGCACTTTGGCTCTGGGTGCAAAAAAAAAAATTTTTTTGTTTCTGCATTTCCGGGGCAAGTGAGGGCCTCAGTGGCATTAGGCGGGCCAGAACATACAGAATCAGCGTTCACCCGGCGGAAAACTTCGATTTTGGCGAAAGTCGACTTTCCCCCCGAAAAATGCCTAAATATGGCACTTTGGCTCTGGGTGCAAAAAAAAAAATTTTTTTGTTTCTGCATTTCCGGGGCAAGTGAGGGCCTCAGTGGCATTAGGCGGGCCAGAACATACAGAATCAGCGTTCACCCGGCGGAAAACTTCGATTTTGGCGAAAGTCGACTTTCCCCCCGAAAAAAGGCTAAATATGGCACTTTGGCTCCGGGTGAAAAAAAAAATTTTTTTCGTGTCACGGGACCTGAAAAACCCCATTTTCGTGGTCGCGTCCACGAAATTGGCATTTTGCAGGATATTTTGAAACTGTAAAATTTCTCCGGATGCCTCATTAAAAAATACACCAGTAAACGTGGATAATTACTCAATGAAACAACTAAATTCAGTCACATAAAGTTTCAAACATATTTAATTCCAATATTTTTGGCATTACGCAATTAAACTTTCTCAATCATCGGTGTGAATTCAGATTTTTCGCACTAAACCACAAGAATCAAAAACAAGTATTGTCCACTGATAGGAGATAATTATTTTTCGCATTCAGATGGGAATTTGGACCCGCGCATTAATCACTGAGAAGCGGAATAAAATGAAGTGAAGTGATCATCAATAATTAATAATTGATAGTTTATCTACGCCTCATGGGCCCCAGACGATCCAACTTATCTCGGATCTCACTAACGTCATCGAATCGTATTGAGATAATGTCGGTGAGTTACAGTGAAGGTCAGACTGTCGATTGTAGTGCCCTCATCGACTTATTTTGCTAATTTTATCTTTATAATTGACATGATCGTCTCAGTACTCCGCACGTTTTGCAACTGAATTAACAGATAATTTGGGAGAGATTGAGGATGCTCATGCTCAATCGCAGCTGTTCAGAAAAACTTTGACGCTTCTTTCACTGATTGAGAAACGTATTATCATCATTACTACTTCATGCTCATGCTGATTCAAACAATCAGGATTGATTGTTCAGAAATAATGTGAGCGAACTGCACTTAATTGCTTGCGTTAGTACGCGATTACGTGGGGTCAAATGGTCGGAATATCAGTTGTGATGTGGAAGAACGAGAGCTTCATTCAGCTCTGACTTGAGTTCACGTTGAATATTTCTGGACGTAACGGAAATAACGGAATTCTCACGAGGAATTTTCTTTATAGTTAATGGTTTCCATAAATGGTCTTTTTATCTTTGGACATTGATTCCAGATCTTTATCAAAATTACTTCTTCACTTTTTAAAAAATATATTTCTCTGGGTTTCCTCTACGGTAGATTATCAAGTCAGTGGTGAAGTGTAAAACGAAATTAATTAATTCAACATCTGGATAATCAGATCTTAGAATCTGCAATAAGGGAAATTCCCTTCAGAAATTGTTTCGAAGCGAGACCTGACAGCAACAAAAATCTTCTCTCCAAAATTTCAAGAATGGAAATGCCTTGTTTTGCCATTTCATTACTGAGCCCGAGAATACATCGGATGTGGCCACGTGAACCACTGAATTATCAGTCATTTATCTCTTCAGAAGGAACTATGGCAAATAATTTATCAAAAAAATCGGAAAAGTTATCTTCACGTCACTCTCTATCGTGAGGAAAAAATTCTGAGATTATTTCAATTCGAAAAAATGTGCTTTCATACGGAAAACAATACGACAAACTTAATACTGCTGTGTTTTAAAATTTATTCCATACCACGTGCATCACAAAAATGCTGGTAATTTATCTTCGAAACTATGTTGAATAACTTGTCAAAAACTCTTAAAAAATGATTCCCACGGTAAACATATTGCATTGCAAAATCGAGATGATAATTCCATAAAATTCCCATTAAAATTTTTGAATATAAAGGCTACAGTGATATTTTCTTCAAAATATATCAGTGTCAAGAGCCATTTCACTGCTGAGTTAATTAATTAAAATTCCCACCATAAGTCCACGTGTATCACAAAAACTAATTTCCCTTCAGAACTAAATAAACTAAATAAATAAAAAACCCTGAATTTAAAATCTGAAAAAATGTGCTTTTTCTACAGAAGACGTGCAAACATTTTGCATTGTAAAACCGAGAAGACAACTCCCCAAAACTCGTCACTCCCAACGACTCCATAAGCCTCCAAACGAATAAATTATGATGAAAAACCCCGACACGACCCAGGAAATGCGTTCAACGTGTAAACACCCTCTACAATAAGAATTGCCGACTGTTATGTCACAAAAATTGATGTAATAACAGAACAGCACCTGTCTCTCGTCATTGATCCCCTGGAATTCTCCAGAAATCCAGCAATGACGTGCACCCAGTCGGACAGTTTAATGGCATTATTCAAATGCACCGTTGCTGCTTCATAAATAACAAAAGCATCGTACTTACCTGATTGGAGACGATCCAACTCTCGATGCACCTCGCATTAATCTGTCGCGTGATATTACCAGGTGGATTAACAGTTATTTCAACCGCACGGAATATCACGAATATTAATCACTCCCAATTTCGTTGTTTTTGTCACCATCAACGGCAATTTTCACTGCTATATTTTTATTCACGATTGATTTAATGAGTCAGCTGTTCAAAAGCAACTTTCTGCCCCGACTCGGAGTTGCCGAGTGACGGCAATTTCTACATTTCCACAAGTGAGCGCCATATTGGATTAAAGGCATATCTGAAAACATTGACTGTTGACGGAAATGGAAAAAATATAATTGGCGTTTGCAGCGATGATAAAAATTAATGAATGAAAATCGATGGAGGATTAATGATTTTTACGTGGATACGTCTGTTTTCATTAAGAGGGGGGAGGGGGGGGGAGGCATATAGGGAAAAAGTCCCGAGCGGTCTTTATGCAATGGCGCCATCGATCGGAATAGACCTTTTCGTTCTAGAAATCTAGGGGAAATATTTATTTCCTTCATTCAACGAAAAAATTTCCGAAAAAACCATGGAAAATTCTGATAAATATTGAACTTTACAATGATATACACTTGAGCGCTCAAAAACCATGATTTATATGTAAATTCGATAAAGTGTCCGCAAATCCTAGGGGAATTAACATGGAAAAAAAGTGTCGGCAAATCTAGTGACTCTCAGAATGAAAAGGCCTATTCTCAATTTTTCTAGAGAATTTTAGATGTTTCTAGAAAATTCAAAAAAAATTTCCAGTTAAAAAAAATACCATCACCATTATTGGTTTGTTCGAAGCCGGGGAAATAAGTAAAAGACAATTATATAGGAGCAATTGAACTTGGCCTTTTATTGAGACGTGTTCTCACTTCGAGAGCAGCCGCAGAACTGAATAAAGAATATCGTAGTCGCGAAGACAGCCTTTTTCTTATGGTTTCTTTCTCACCAGATTTTATCAGATGTTTATATTATTTAGTAAACATTTGACTGGAGTTTCGTCGCAAGACCCCACAGACGGGTCTCTCCAGGAAGAGTGATCTCATAGTATAATACAGTAGCGAAGTGGTAAAACGGTTCAAGTCGACTTATCTCCCAGTTGAGTTTTTGAAGAATATTTCCGAATCTAAGGGAGATAGCGAAATTTTCGTGATTACATTTGTTGTAGCTCTCAATCGGCTCTACAAAAAAGGTTGTTACAAAAATTTTGCTATCTCCCTTAGATTCCGAGATATTCATTGAAAACTGGTCAATAGTCAAAATTGGCTTGAACCGATTTACCACTTCACTACTGAATTTATGACGAGTGGTATCAAGTGGTATCAATTGTAAGATTGAGAAAGTCTCAATAATGAAGAACCGGAGTGACAATTTTTTCAGTGTTTAAGGGGTAACAGAATGCGGCCAATTTTCCAAATTTTTAAACAAATTTTCTACCGAAAGTTGTCGATATTTTTACAAATCGAAGCACATTAATCTCCAGGAGGTGATGATAAAGATGTGCTTTGGGTTCAAAAAATACTAATAACTTTGAGCAGAAAATTTGTATGAAAATTTCGAGGAAACGTTGGCCTTCTGTTGCCCCTTAACGAAAAGAAAAACTTCCTGTTGTGACCTAAGCCCGTGATTTAAACTTTTTTTTAAATACAGTAGCTCTCGGTATTCTCGTACGCATGGGGGAATCAAAACAAAAACTCGAAGGAACGTAAACACGGGAGTGTTTACGTCTGGACCTCGCAGGTGGTTAAGTGGGGCACCGTCACGAGGATCAAACGCGCCGATCTCTATACAATAACATACGTCTGTTATGTGAGATCAGTCGTCTGCTGTCTCACATTTAATAAAGTATATACGACTGACGATATTATTTCACTACCAATTGTAGGTTACGTATCGAACTCCCATTCCCTCGACCGATCTGAGTATTATAGAACAAACTCGTCAGTCCCCCTAAATATTTACGTATTCTCACTCGGATGTGTCCCACTCCGAGGCAGGAATATAGCCTATATAGTCAACTATGAATGGAGAAGAATCACACTGGGGGCGGGGTCGCCACGCACACGGGCGGCCGATGCGCCATCTCGCCGTGAACTCAGTGAACTCCAATTGCACGTGACAGTTCAAACAGATCCGATCAATTAGCCCCTCATGTATAGATATTCCAAATTTTTATTTTTTTCCTCATTGAAGTAGTTTTGAAGAAAATTGCGAGCTAGTAAAAAACATTTTCTAGTTAGTACTTTTTTTAAAATAAATTTTTGAAAAATCACCCCTGAAAAAAAAGGCGTTATTGAAAATTCAATTGAAAACCCGAGTTGAAAACCCGAGTTTGTAGCAGCGATGTCAGACAAGATATGAATGTTTTTTTGGTTCAAATGAAAGAGCGGGTCGAGAAATGGCGTGCTAGGGCCTCTAAAGATGGTTTTGAACCAGGGGAGACTCCTAGACGCCAACGTTCTATACATACTCCTAGACCCCATTGTCCTCCTAGACAATGATGTCACAACTCTGCTGTTCAATTGAAAACAGACATCATCTTTAGAGACATTTGTCATGTTTAGAGGTTCTAAAAATAAAAATTTGGAATATCTACACATGAGGGGCTAATCGATCGGATCTGTTCAAACCCCTGAATTTCGATAATCGTTGGTTTTTTCGTTATCTTTGTATTAGTTAATTGGGTTGATTAATTATTTCGGTGGGATTAATTTTGACGGGTTTGTGTGGTCCATTTCACCTCGCCTTTATCCAATTTTTGGTGTGAATACGCGTTTAGGGAAAAAATCGATCAGGATTTTAGAAAATTCCAGATTTCGTTAGAAAATTTTAGTTTTTTCAAAAATCGAAATAGTTCTTTTGTTTTTTTTTCTAAATAAATTATAATTTTGTGGGATCGTTATAGCTGGACGTTTGGGTATTATTGCACGAGATAGATGAAATTTGTGGATTCGTATTAATGAATTGTGCCATCAAAAATAGTCAGGGGCTTTTTTTGTAACCAGACAATTTCGTATTCGTCAAAATATGAAAAATCCTGTTTGCTTCACTGAAAATAAAACAATTTATTCGCGTAGTAGTTCAAAAATATTTTATTCCATGTTGAAAAAAAAAAATCAACAATTACATAAGTACAGAAATGACGGAGATCCACATAATTCTTATGTACAATTATCGTCGTCATTTTTATCTCTCAATTGAATAAGTAACACGTGGAATTCCATTATGACGTCTTTGGAAGTGCCCACATCAGTAATGCACAATACAGAAATGTCTTGAGAATGTTCAGTGGTATAACTAGTAGTTTAGCAATTTTTATGGGAGATTTACTCCGGAAAAAAATCTCTTTCGTTTTTTGAGGCAAATATTTTGAAAGTACTATTTTTCCCATTGTGTTCCCTCGTGAATCCGATTCTGTACGCCAAAATTATCTTCGTCCACTCAAAATAAGATTTTTTCAATGTTTTGTAACCAAAAATTAAAATTTTTAAAAATCTGAAAAATAGTACTTTTCAATTTGTTTTCCAAAAAATGAAATTTTTATTCTCGCGAAGTGCACACATCAGTTATGCACAGTACAGAAATATATATTGAATCTTCAGCAGTTTAACTAATAGTTTAGCAATTGTTAAGGGAGATTCACCCCTGGAAAAAAAGCCTTCGGTTTTCGAGGAAAATTTTTTTAATTTTCTATTTTTCCCGTGGATTTGCCTCAGGGATACGAATCTGTAGAAGAAAATTGTCTCCATTCGCTGGCAAATTGAATTTTTGTAACTAAAAATTAAACTTAAAAAAATCTGAAAAATAGTAGGAGAGGGTGGGGTAAAATGGACACTTTAGACTTTTTTAAATTTGTTCATAACTCAGAAACTAATTCATCAATTGAGCTCAGTTTAGGCTCGTTACAAAGGGAAAGAATTGTTCTTTGCATTGAAAAAAAAAATTATCAAATTTCATCAACATTTCAACCCCTCATCGACATTAAAAAAAAGTCAGAAGTTTCCGTTTTACTGCAACCTCCCCTATTTAAAAAAATTTCTTCCTCAAAAACCGAAGAAGTTTTTGTCCCGAGGTGAACCTCCCCTTAATCGGACCTATAACATATGCTCGATATCACAGACCGTGCGATGTCACCGACTGAGAAAATATCGTTTTTTCATTCATTTTCTGTCTCGAGTTTCTAATAATTGATTATTGTCATGCACTGCACGATTATTCGGGAAGAGCTGTCAGTTGTTCGTGCCCATGCGTTCGTCAAGTGACAGAATAAGATAATGCAAAACTTCAAGATTTGTCACTCCGCTACTAAAGTACATTCAGATACAGTAATAATACTATTGTCATCATGGAATTGTGGTTCTTGTCATGCTATTTTTCCTAAGTTCATAATTGTTCGCTGGTTCATCTTTCTCGTGAGTCAAAATTAACCGAGATACATGAACAATTGATAGTTTCATAATAACATTCTGTAGTGAAGTGGTAAAACACGAGTTTGGAATAACAATTTATAACTTTTCTACAATTTCTGATAAATTTGTTATCATAATGAGTAATTTTATAGAAAATATCGAGGGATATTTTGATGTTCTTGAATATTACCCTTCTTCGCCGAGATAATTATACAAGCAAATGATTAATGATAATTAATAATAATAATTACTATCTGATTACACCCACGAAAGAAATTAATTGAAAAATCTAGCGAATTCGCTGGACAGTTCTATCAGATTTCTATAAAATTACTCTATTGAGATATTTTCTATAGAATTCCCTCGCCTCAAATTTTCTATTTTTATCATATTTCTTTTCTTTCCATCAACAAAATAGAATAAAAAAACATTCGAAACTTAAGCTGAGGAAATTCTATAGAAAATATCTCAATAGAAAAATCTAATTCTATTATTTTTTTCTAGAAAATATTTTCTATTGAACATTTCAATAGAATCAGAAAAAAATTAATAGAAAGTTCAGTAGAAATCCAATAGAAGTGGAATTGTCTAGCGAGTTCGCTAGGTTTTCCTATGAATTTTTTTCAAACGCGTAGAAATGTCTGCAATTGTTACGTTTTACCACTTCACTGTTGATTTAAATCAATCGTCAAATTGATGAATTGAATGACCCTTGTCATTCCTTAAACGAAGCATTCCATCTATTACTTTATAATTCCTACAATATCATCTGATTATAAACTTATCGCCGGCGTAAGCAACCGCGTCGTGAATAGTCGCGAATATTTTGAAGCTGTGGTCGCCTTTCGCAAATTTCTCGGATTTAACGAAACTCTCAAATACCGGGGCCGAGCAGCCGGCGATGTAAACCTCTACGTCAACGGTTGAGAACTCATCCACTATTGTGTGGAGCATTTTAATACCACTGGGGTCAACATAACTCAGTGCACTCATGTCCATTATAATGCAGTTCAGGCCCTCTTCGCGATGATCCGCTTGGTTCACTTGGTACAGTGAATTTTTCGCTCTTTTCGCGCGAATCTTCAAGACTCTTTGCGGTATCATCCCGATTAGAGTGAAGACTTGGGATTTAAAGTGATTCGCATTGGCGAAATTCAAGCCTCCACAGTAGTGGAATATTTTTATACCTTGAAGCTCAACAATCTGAAATTTTAGATTGAGAATTTTGCGAATGAATTTCTTTTCGAGAAAACTTCAGAGAAAAGGAATTTTTCCAGTTTTCAAAACAGAGTCACTCATTTTCCTATTTTGTACTGAGAATAAGAAAATAAAATGTAGAATGAAATGGCAAATTGTCATGTTAATGACGCTGAATATCCCGAATTTTATAAATTATTATTAATTATTAATTATGAATATCCCGAATTACAAATTACAGAACGACGGATTTAAAAAATTCTTAAATTTGTACTGGAAATTCAAAATTTTTTCCTCTATATTGCAATATCACCAGAAAGAGGAGATATTTCGAAAAATATAAGATAATTTTTTTGCGAAGAATTTCCCGTTTTCACATGTCTTATTTTTTTGTGGAAATGAATCCAAAAGATTTAAATAACGAGTTTTGTTTTATCCAAATGTGCAATTTCTCGAAAAATATTCCCCTTAGATATTCCCGTGATAATCACTTCCTATCAGACGTGAAGAAATCGAAAGAGGAAGAAAAATAAAACAATGCTTCCATTCGAAAGCAAAAAACACCGCACCAATCGAAAAAATTTGAACTCACATTTTTGTAACGCGTCAAATCTAGATATAAATCAGTATTTGGCACGTGTCCGAGTAAACAGGCATACGGTTTTATGCTGAGTAGTAGAATGCTTGCAACAGATGTGACTAAACCAGCCAGCAATCCGATATCGATTCCAATTAACACAACAGAGAGTACAGTGACAATCCAGACCATTCCATCGAGTTTACTGAGCTTCCAGAATCTGGGCAATTGTTTAGCCTGCAGCAGCATTCCCTTCAATGCCACCTGAAATCAACAACTACCTCAACGCAAAAACAAACTCGCGAGAATGAGATTGAGTTCTATTGGATCCTCAATCCTCAATTTCTCTCGCAATGACTTTTTATTCTACTTTGCTGATTTCTCTGGATCTAAGTGAGACAGATAAATTGCTATTTGTTTGCTATTTGTGATTTCATTTATTGAAGAGATTTATTGAAGACCCAACAGTCGAAGCCAATTACAGGGTCCAATCATTATGCAATACTTATATTTTCATAATTTCGTCTAGATCCAGAGGCATTCAACAAAGAATTATCGCCGAGTGATGAAAAAGGATGAATCAATTCTCTAATGCAAATGTGCTTTATGTTTTCATTAAAATCACGTACCACAATTATCGACGCCAGCACGCATCTTGGCAAAGCTTCAAAAAAGGGGCCAATCCACAGCAAAATAATTAATAGAAGAGAGCAGGAAACAATACTGGCTATTTGGGTTTTTCCACCTACAGTTTGTTGTATCAGAGATCGACTGAGCGATGCAGACACTGGCATGCAGGGGAAGAATGATCCTACTACATTGCTAATGCCCTAAACACCAAGAAAAATTAATGCCGGAGTGAGAAATTAGAGAGAAGGATTGAGAGAAATAATTGTTAAAAGGAGTTGAGGTAGTATGTACGAGGTAGTAGGATAATTCCAGCAGAAAAAGCGCTTTCCAATGGAGTTGGAAAATTCGATTGGATTCCTAATGAACTTTTGGTCAGCACACGAGGAAAAAATCCCATCGCAACAGCCCGGAAAATACTGTTTGAATAGCGAAGCGGTAAAACTGTTCAAATTAATTCTGACTATTGATCAGTTTTCAATGAATATCTCCGAATCTAAGGAAGATAGCTAACTTTTCGATATGACCTTTTTTGTGGCGCGAATTGAGAGCTATAAAAAAGGTTATGACGAAAATTTCGCTATCTCTCTTAGATGCGGAGATATTTAGATAAGAACCAATGTGGATTTTCGCTAACAATTAATGTAGATTTTAGATAAACCTTAATTTGAATTTTGGGTAAACATTAATGGTATAAATGGCTAAAAATTAATGTGAATTTTAGTTTAAAAAAATAATGGAAATATTATCGACTTAGATCGCTGGACCGCTTCGCTACTGATTTGGACAAAATCATTTCGGACGAAAAGAAAAAGAACAAATTTTTTTCGAACCAACTGTACCGTCTACCCTACCCCCATACTACTCCATAATATTACGAAAAATCAATTGTTACCATTGCAAAGAGCTCTTGATTCGAGTCAATATCGTACTGAAGTTTTTGGGCAAATATCAGGGCCATGGAAAGCGTTATTGTGTAGGAGACCATGGTGATGGCAATGCAATCGACCGCGACAGTCGGCAGCAACTGGAAAGTGGGTATTTCGGGCTTTGGCAGTCTGTCGAATCATTAATCTCACCTTCAATTAACCCAGATACCCCCTAATTCGTGGGATATTTTATCGTAAAACGAAAACATTGACTCACCCCGTTGGAATATGACCTACAGTTTTGATGCTGTAGCGCCCTGGCAAATCACAGTAATTGGATATTAATGAGCCTGTCACAACGGCAATCAACTCGATTGGCAGTGGCATGTTGCATTTCTTCTTGATCCATGGCTGGGATAATCAGTAATTTTTAATAACGAATTCGAGTAATTGGTGGTTTGTAATATTGGGATGATTTCTACCTTCAAATATTCATTGTTCGACCACATTATTACGATGGCAACAGCCGATACGACGATAGCTGCGTAGTTTGGGGTACTGAGTACACTCACAGTGTCTATAGTCGTCTAAAATGATTTTCATTTATTTGAAATTAATTTTAAGTGGTGAAATGAGAGATTAAGTCATCTCAATTCTGGTAGAACCAGACTAACTTATACTGTTATTTTATTTTTGTTTCATTTCTGTCTTCACAATTAGATTAATTTAATTTTATTCACTCTTACTGTTATTGCACATATTTTTGTTCCTTAATTCACAAGTTACAACATTGAATGAAGAGGAATTCCTTATAAATCACGTGAGAACGCAGATCGGCAAATAATTTTCGATAATCATACCTAAAGTTTGTCATTTCTTTCTTTTTATCTAAATTAATTAGTACCACTGATCGAAAAATGTGAAGGAATATGAATATTTTACATCCCTTTGATCTCATTTCAGGATCAATAAAATGAAAAAATCTATTTTTCTGTCTTGTCGAAAATTTTCAAATTGTTTTTTCTCCTTAAAAAATGAAAGGAAGTTGACTTTTTTAATTCCTGTGTTTGTATTCCTTTCACAGAAACAGGAAATACGGAAAATGCAGGGAAGAAAAATTAGAAATAAATTTTAAACATCAATTTTTCAATCTTGAAAATTTCAAAACGTTGTTTTTTAATAATGAAGAAAAATATATGTATTTTCCTTCTATCATCTAATTCTGATGGACGAAAGTGAAGAAAGGAAGAGAAACGAGATCAACACGAAAGCAGAATTTTTAATTTTTCGATGTCTATCATAAATTCAATTCCTATCCTCACATTTTCATAGAATACATTTAAAAAATAGCAAAAAATTCAAATCAGCGATAACAAATTTTATCTATCGGATTATTATTATTTAATAATAATTCGATTAGAACATACAAATTAGGGAATATCATTGGAGTATTAAAAAGACAAACCCACGAAAACCTCTATTAATTCCAAAGGTATTTAGTCTTGAAAACCAAACGCATAAAAACGTCTCGCTCTTCTCAGAATTAAAGCCAGAAAAATGTTCTCTAAAATATTATTCAACACAAAAAAAAATCGAGCCAAGTAACGTTTTCGAAATTGTTTGTTTTTTGCACCAATTCCACAGGAGCCCCTTCACCACTGCAATAATAGTCCATAGAATATTTAAAAAATCTTACGTAAATCATCTCAAAGTGATAAACTTTGCGTCTCGGTAATTTCAATCCCAGGAGATCCTTAATTTGTGACATGAGTACGTGAATAGCAGCTCCAGTTGTGAAACCATTAACAAGTGTTTCACTGAGCAGAGTGCTAATGATTCCCAACCGTAAGAAGAACATTAAAATCTGCGGATGAAAACTCCGTCATTTCGTTATTTACAAACTCCCACCGACATTGACAATCGATTCGAGGGATTACCTGCATTATTCCAACCGTGAATGTGACAGCGGTTGCCACTTGCATCGGACTATAAATTGTCACAGTGTCATTACGATTTAATTCATCATTCAGGGTGTCTTGGGGGGTTGAGTAAGCTGCCACTGCTTTCCCAGTCATGAGGCAAACAATGGCAAATGTACCTGCAATCGAGTAACGTTAAGGAGCCGTAAACATTCCTCGTTGTTTCAATTGCACGTGACCTGACGCTTCTACCTGATTTTCATTTTTATGGAGATCGATGATTGTGATAATTTTTGAATATGTGAGAGTTGAGAGGATTGACTGACTGTTAGGGCCTTCTAAATAACCGAATTTATTGCAATGACTGTGTCAGTGTAATTGTAACGAGTTAAGAAAAGGAGAAACGAACAGGAGAAAATAGAATGATCGAATAGCTTGATAAATAAACAAATTAATGAAGTATAATAAATAAATAAATGATTGTGAATGAAGTTCAATAAAATCATTGGATAAAATTCTTTAAGTAATGATTAAAAAAGGGAATGAACATAAATAAACGAGTACGGGAAAAAATTAAATATAATGAACGAATAACTTGATAAAATAAATAAATAAATAAATGATTGTGAGTAAAGTTCTTTAAATAATAATTAAACATGTGAAGGAACTGGATAAAACTCTAAGTAAGAGAACTATTCACACAATTATGACTTTAATGTTTCGACAACGTAATCGATGTAAATTTCTGTTTGGCCTTGGAGGATCTCTGTATCTCAGAATATAATAAAACGTATTCCAACAGTGAAGTGATGAAATAACATAAATTAATCAATTCCCCATTTTAATTATTTTTATTTCAGTAGCGAAACGCCAAACGATTCAAGTCGATGTTGACTATTAGTCAGTTTTTAATAAATATCTCGGAATCTAAGACAGATAGCGAAATTTTGATTCAAACATCTTTTGCGGGGCGCATTGAGACCTACAAAAAAGGAAATTACAAAAATTCCGCTATCTCCCTTAGATTCAAAGATATTTCTCGAAAACTCAGCTAAGAGTCGACGTAAATCATTTTACCGCTTCGTTACTGATTTCTGTCAGCGCACGGCGTGAAAAAATTTTCTGAAAGTTCCCCCGCTTGAATGTTATCTCTCGACATTCCACTATCGATGTATTTTTCAAGATAACTAACCCATGGAGACATGCCTGGAAGTTCCAAAAAAGAAATAAACGAGTACAGGAAAAAATGCCATGTAAATTCCAACGACTGGCGGTAGATTTCCTAGTAGTGCGTACGCCATGCCCTGAGGAATATGCATTATAGCGACTGTTACACCAGAAATAATATCCGAGAGTATGTGATCTCTCCACTTATATTTCCTCAACCAATCTATAACGGGTAGCACTGATGTTGCACAAGAGTGACATGACTGTTGCTTCAGGGACGTCGAAATGTTATCGATAACTGGGGAAAAATAAATGTTTTGCTGAATGCTCTAGCGGAAAATCCAGTTGTATTTTGAGTTTTTAATCGTAATAAATATGTCTCACGTGATATTTTCGGCTTTTCATACGAAAATTCTTGATTCAGAGTGCTCTGATCGTACAGAGGCCGATTAATCCGCAGATGAATGAGTGAATCCACCTGTTTTTCGGCATCCTCTGCGTCAAAATCAGTTGAATAAACAAATCAGCAGGAAGTGAGACAAATAGTGTTGAGTCATTCGAACTGTCATGCTTTCCCCCCCAAATGTCATTACAAAACTCACCGAGTAAACTCATAATGAAGGTTGAACTCGCGACACTTTTATTCTGTTCATGCGTCTCGATCCTCTCGGCATCAGTTTAAAAACCCCACTGACGTCTTGTTCACGAATACTCGATAATTGTCTCTCTGGAGTTTTAAGCGGGAAAAAAAGAATTGAATGAAAAAAATCAGGCCATGAGACTGTCAGCTGATCGCCGACGCATGCAGGGGAGCTTGGAAGTTTAAACTACTCTAGTCAATTCCATACTTCAGTAAGGTCGATGTCCCAGTGACTGAATCGCTAAGGAAATATCGACGGGAAATATTTATTTTGAAAAGTTGACTTGAGATTTTTTGTAGATCAGACATTTTGGGGGAGTAATGAGATTTTGCAAACAAAAAACAATCGCTTTTAGTTATAAAAATATTGGGAATGATAGAATCCTTCAGGTTTTTTACTTTTAAAATAAAATTCATTTTTACAAGTGAAAAACGAATTTTGGGGGCCTTTCAGAATTTTAGGCCTGAAAATATGGAAAAAAAGATTTTTCATCGCTTGTGCGCAAAGTGAAATTTTGCGTACGCAAAATCCCACTTTCTACACGTCGTGATGAAAAATAGGGTTCAATACCCGTGGGAAAAGGGTTCTTCGACAATTGGGAGGGCAGAACTTTTACGCACTCATATCGAAATATACTATCTAAACGCGCAAATTAAGAAAAAAAAAAATTTAAGAACTATTTACCCACTTGCGCGGAAGATTTTTTTACTATTCGAATGATAATATTATGGACATTTTGGGGGAGTAATGAGATTTTGCAAACAAAAAGCAATCGGTTTTAGTTATAAAAATATTGGGAATGATAGAATCCTTCAGGTTTTTTACTTTTAAAATAAAAATTGTTTTTACAAGTGAAAAATGAATTTTGCGGGCCTTTCAGAATCTTTAGGCCTGAAAATATGGAAAAAAAGATTTTTCATCGCTCGTGCGCAAAGTGAAATTTTGCGTACGCAAATCCCACTTTCTACACGTCGTGATGAAAAATAGGGTTCAATACCCGTGGGAAAAGGGTTCTTCGACAATTGGGAGGGTAGCACTCGCCTTCGGCGAGCGCGCAACCGCAAGACCAATCACTTCATCATTGAAATCCGAAAAGATGGCGGGATTTTCGCTTGAATTTCTCCCCCCAAGATGGCGCTCCCTCGATTTATCGATTTATCCGACCGACAAGAATCTGCATTACCGAGTATCGCCCACGTACTTCTGAATAAATTCGTGGAAATAATATTGACATCGGCAGTGTGGGTTACCCCACACAAACGTCCTATTTTACCCGGAAAAGTGAACGCGCGTTTCGTTGTGCTGATGGGACAAAAATAAGTCACGCGTGCACCTCGTGTTTGTGACTCTGAGAGGACGCGTCCAACTGTCAAAGGGAGGCCTCGAGCATCGAGGGCTCACCGAGAGGCTAGACCCCAATCACTCCAATTTATTTCTCAAACCATCCGGGGACTCACTGGATTTACTCCATCAAAATGAGGTATTTGCCATTTTTTCCGCGATTTTTATTGCAATTATGGGGGCTGGGATCCATTCATTTGTTGGGTCGGAGCATAATATGTCAAATGGCGGATTGTTTATTCAATTACTCCATTGTCACTGCGTTAACAATCGAAAATATCGACTTTTCGAGGTGAAAACCATCGCTTCCCCATCGATTACTCCTGGGAATTCCTTATAAAATTAGAAAAATTATTCAGAGTTTTCGTGAATGAATCTCGTTCCGCGAATTGTCAGATACATTCGGCCATGTTTGCTGCACTGACGTTTCTCCTGACACCCAGCGTCCCGACGATTATTTTCTGAGAAAAAATATTTATTCTTTTAAACAAATGGAATTGTTTATAACAAAATCGATAAAATTCCACTTTTTTCATCGGATTTTTTTTGTTTATAACAAACCATGTTTTTTCGATGAAAAAGTACTTCTGCGTTTTTTTGTAAAATGTATATTTTTTCATCGGAAGAAAAAATTTCTTCCAGTTGTCAAAAATTATAAAACAACATACCTTTTTCAAAAAAAACATTTGTTCATCTTTGGAAAATTGTTTGTCTAGAGGCAAACAATATTAATTGAGTTACAAATCACGAAAGAAAATTTTTTTTCAAAATGTAAAAATTTTGAAACCGCATAATTTTTTCGAAAAAAAAAAAAAAAATTTCATCTTCGAAAAATTAGTTATTGGGGCCTTCTGCGATATATAAAACAATCAGAAGAAAATAAAAATGTGACCATTTTTTAATGGAAATAACGTGGAATGTCCCATATCCTTTTGCTTTTTCTAGTTTATCCATTCGAATTGGATAACTAGTGTTTGTAAAGGGATACGACTGTCGCGTTAATCTCTACACACCTGCGCATGAACATTCATTTTTGTTTCGCGATATTTATTTCGGTGCGGGGCAGAGAGGCGTGTAGGTGACGCTTGCGGTGCTGTATATATATTTATACACTCACTAATGTCGGGAATGAGAATTTACGGTTTTTTTCCGAGTCAATTCGTTCACAAGTGGATTTTCTATTTTCGAATTTGAGACCCGCGAGGTTTTTTGGGGCGTTGACCCAGTTTTCCCTTGTTATTGACAAGGTATACTGAAATCACCCTTTCATGCATAATTGAATGGACTTGAATCCTCGTAATTGAAGAAACCGTCGGAGGATTCATTTTCCGGAAAATTTAACAAAAACACGAAATTTTTGAAAACTGTTCTGTAAATCAAACAATTTTCTTCGAACAATTTTTGAGCCGTCATTCAATAAATTCAGGGCATTTTTTTAGTTATGCTGGGCCAACCGATTTTTGAAAGAATTCAAAAATTAGAAAAATTGACGTATGAATGAAATTTTAATTAATGTCGATGGATACGTCTCGATAAAACTTGTATTTAGAAAAAAAGATTAAATTTGATTAATTCATTAGCGAACACTGAAAATCACATTTTCGAACTTGTTGGATCGTAATGTGTTGATTTAAAAAAAACAAAACGTAAGGTCTATCCCAAGACTACCACCCAAAACTTGATCCCTGCGAATTTCCGCAAAAAATTCTAAATTAATTAATTAATTGAATTAATTAACTGATTTAGAATTTTTTAATAAAAAAAATCTACCTATAACTATTCAACTATTAAATAGTATAAACTAAATAGTATAACTACTATTAGTTAGTTAGTTTACTACTATTTATTAGTTGGTTTTATAATTTAACTATTTTCTAAATTATTTAATAATTTTTTAAATAATAAAACAAAATTTTTTAATTAATTTATTGCATTCTCATGAGTTATGGAGTTTTTCTATCCTCATATGTTATTGCTGAAGGCAACAATAACTGTTTGAATCAAATAAGAAATTATTTGTCAATCAATTGCTTCAATAAAATAATAAATGATTTCACGAAATTTCCATTTTAGAGTTGAATATCGAAGAAAAGAAAACCCAGTTTTTAGCATTTTCTGCTAGATAAATGGACAATCAGCAAAAAAATTGTCTAATATCTTCTCCCGAAGCCCCTAGTTTTTCGGGATAATGGACAATCACCTAAACTTGTTACTGTTCACCCCTTTCCTCCCGCTTCTTTCTCTGAACAAAATTGATTTGATTTTTTCAAGCGGACGATCGCAGATGACGGCGGTGAACGGCAAGAGGCCAAACACAATGTCAATTCGATATAACACAGAGTCGTCAGCGCAACATTTCGACCTGATAAAATACATCTGTGACTGTGAGTGCATTTCAAATTGAATGAAATCAATTTTTTACGTTTTCGGATGTAACAAATGGTCTTCATGAGTGTCATTATTGTATGATTTTTGCAGCGTGGGATTCAGTGTCGAGAGAACTGAACATGAGTCACAATCAGTCCCATGGGGATTCGCGAAATTATCGCAACGGGGCTTCGGTGACGTATTATCAGGAGAGAGAACCAAATCCACTTTTGAAAGGTATGAAATCGTTCTCTCTGTTGCCATTTTTTTCATATTCCCTTCAATTTATGAATCCCTTATACCTTAAGGATATCCAAGGATATCCAATTATCTTTTACAGTTTGGTGCTGACCACACTACACATTCAACCATTTTTAATCATCAAATTTGTCAATTAAATTGCGTGAAAAAAATTTGAAAATAAAATCATGAATATTCAACGTCATTCAGACGTTTTCGTTTTCGTATTCGTTTTAAACAATCGTTGTTTATAAATAAATAATTGAAATTTCTTAAACTTTCGAAAAAAAAAAATTTATTTACGAAAAATATAAAATCATTGTAAAATGTCCAGAAACTTAGATTAAAATGGGGCTCAAATAAAAGCTCTGATGCCAAAGACTTGGATATCCTTAAAGATGATTATTTAACCCTCTACATTCGCAATATTTGTCATCGTCAATCTATGACGTTAAGATTACATAATATCGTATTAAATACTTTCAGACTTTGAGCCATTCAACCTGGAGGCCTGGTGGGGCAGACGAGTAGTTCAAAGTATAACGAGAAATGCGAACTCCTAGTGCCAGGCCCCCTACAACGATCACACCCGTACATTCACACACAGGTATAAAAAGCAGAAGAGATAAATTGAATAAACCTAAAAAAAAGAATTTTGAGAACTAAATATCCTTAAAAATGCATAATTACCACCTGATCGAGTCTGCAAAGCATCTCCAAAGATTTGAAAGAACAAAAGTCCAAATGATTTCTGGCCATCAGGCAAATTACCACGAGACTCGAGTTTTAAATAATGATAAAAAGTTAATTCAGCTTTCCTTTACATTCCTACTCGTTCATTCAGTAAATAAATAACATAACATCAATGACTTGTTATGAACTATTGATAGAAATATGATGAGAGGGGATATAGTTAAAGGTGCGATTAAAAATCGAATAAATCTTGAGAATACTTTCTCGATCTACTATTTGTTTTTTATATTCTTGGATTAAGCTTAGGTGTAAAAATTGCTAGAAGAAGAAAATCTCAAAAAGTGTAATAAATCAGTAGTGAATTGGTAAGACCTAACAGAACGTTCTTTTTCACGTCATTAAATATTGAATCACCTGAAATGTCTCCAGACATTTTCCCCTCAATCAATTCCCTCTCGATAAAATAATGAAATTAGCAAAAATGTCATTCTTTATTTATTACGTTTTGACACTCCACTCCCTAAATAATAATCATAAATTTTAATGAATGTGAGAAGAGTGCTCATCACACGAATTAGACGAAATTTTGCACGAGTTGATGATAGAAATACAATGAGAAAAACCTAGTAATAGTCAAAAAAAATGATAACACCATTTTCGTAGTTTAAAATTGAAGAGAAAAAATAACATTTCAACTCTGATCTAAAATTAATTTAACCGACAGACCTATTTATACATATGTATTTACGTGATGTACATCGATACGTGTATAGCTGATTAAGAAGATAATGTCTACACCCAAATGAAAACAAATAAATAACGTATAATACCTTTGTACTACAGAATCCAATAAAATCCGTTCATTTTTTTTCTACAAAATATTGTTTTTCTTTTTGCTCGTGTGTTACACGTTTGCAATTACTCGTGCGAAATAATGGCCAGCTGAGGCTTGGAAAAAAAAATATCCGGCGGCCTGGACGGTGGGGGATTAACGCTTCAGTACTTCAACAGTCCATTGGGTTCATACAAATTTGAAGATTCATCGTTTCAACGTCAGGCACTCGTAAAATTCATTGGGGAGGCTGTCGGTACATACCTTCCTTCATCATTTTTTTTTTCGGGTAAATGCTGTTGATTTCGAAGCACCCGTAGTGCTCTGGTGGATCAATAGAGTGGTCGCCATGGCCCACTTCTCTGACGACATCAATTACATTTTGAAAAATGGGTCGTGTGCGTGAGTCATTGATTGACTATTGTTCGAGTTGTTGAATTTCCATCAATTCTCGCGGCAGAGGGAAGTTATGGGAATGACCGCGAAAAGTCAATCTTGAGATTTTTATCTTCATGTTTCATGATCACTGAAGTTTTTTTGATATTTTCATTTCACTGATAATAATTTTCGACTGAAACAACATTGGCTGTTGGTGGTTTGAGGATATCCAAGTACTTTACCTATTTTTTCTCCATTGTAAAATAATAAAATCAGTTTATAATTTTGTAATGATTTTATAATGATTTTATTATTGAAACTGGATATTGAACCTTTCGAAAACATTTTAAAAATCTGAGAAAAATGAGAAACTTTACTTTTGGGCAAAGATTGATGAAATAATCTAAAAAGTGCAATTTTTTAAAATTACGAGCATTTTCTGTAAATAATTTATAAACAATCTTTTATCATTAGTAATAAACAATAAATTTAATCCCGATACTTCTTAAAATTGTTATCATATTATAATTCCAGTGGTAGTTTAAACAATTCAGTCATATACAATTCAAAATTTCGTGGAAAAATCTATTCATGAGAGTTTTAATAAAATTGCCTCACAAGAATTGGTTCAAGTGTTCTCATCTGTCTGTTTTCTCATTTTTTTCCTCATTTTTTCATTCTCACGTTTTCCAATCTCATTTCTGCATTATTATGTCACAATAGATATTCAAATTTTCTATTTGCATCCTCCACGTTATCATGATCCTGATTGCATTAATTTTCCAGGACCGCGACACCTAGGTTCCGTGTTTGCGCCTGAAGCATTAATAAAGTACAATTAAACTGCTGTTCAACTTAGATCTACATGATAACGTGGTTTAATTAATTTCGGGAAAAATATCGACGGCATTAATTGGAATACGACTACCACTCAGCAAGACATGATGTAGGGACTATTGTGTACAGAATTTACCAGAGTTCTGGATTTTATGTGGAACGTTTTAAGGGTAAGGTATTATCCACGAGAAGCCGTAAACTCATGGAGTTTACTCAGTGTCATGTACGTGCATGCACGAGGTCTCGTTGAATTTCCCTCCTCCCCTCGGTCCACAGAATTTGCCGCGAGTGTCCCCCCGAGTCGAAGGTATGGGTATTGATTCGTCTTGCACCAAACGCACCGAAACGCCTGGTGAGTGCAACCAGAAAAGCGAACGAATTTTCATCATTTTTGCTTCCGAATGCAAGCAATGCATTCGCCGAATCCGAAATTTTATATTTTTTGCGTCAGGATAACTAATTTTGACCTCAAGGAGTGCAAATGAATGAATGTTCCTATGTGACCAATAGTTTTTCGCCGGTAACGAAAAAAATAATTGTCTAAATGAATCCAATTGTGATTTAAAATATTCTTCCCAATGACATGTACACCGAGATCGATCATGAGATCGATATGATGCATCATATGTTGATGAAAAAATTTATTTTGAAACCGATATTCAGGGAAAGGTAAAAAAAAAATCAACGTTGGGGCAATGTTGGGGTCATGTTGATTGTCCAGATTGAGCCAATATTGATTTCGACGAATCATTGAATTCAATTAAAAATACATCATCATAGAAATTCCATTCGTAATCAAATTGCCAAATTATTAGCAAAAATCTATTGACTATATTGCGACAAAAGCAATTTCCCGCTTGTTTTCCCTTATTTAAAACGTTTTTTCCTCATGAACCTAATTAATGAATTATCAAACAACTTATTATTACACCTCCGCAGTTGCGAGGGCATTCATAATCAATTCTTCACGAATCAATTCTCCTGAAAATAAGTAGATGGGTGGTTTCAATTATCTCGAATGTGTGATTTTTCTCGGAATTCCTCTCACGTGTCACGAGCGTGAGAGTAAGTTCCATCAAGCTTATCTCGAGATTAACTTCTCCCTCACTCTTGTGGACTCTGCCCACCAACTTTTCCCTCTTTTAACTCCGAGTTGAGCCTGATAGAACTTGTCCAGAGTACGATAATTCCGTGGTTGAAAATCCGCAATTCTCCAGAGGAGTCATTAAGGAGCTTTTACGGGTGTTACATCTCAGTAATGAACACACGCTCCTGATGCGAGTGTCTTCAATATTTCAAAAACTCATCTTGGCTTTTGGAGGATATCAAAGTGGGCTAGTCTCCCCTATCAAGTTATTTTTTAAAAAGAAAAATAACAGTTTCAGTGATGAATAAAATTAACTTTCGTGCAGCGAATTGCAATTATAGTTCTAAAATTTCAGTAGAACTACCATTTGAAATCAATTTTACAGAAGATATTTTGGACCTCGAAGATAAAACAACAGAAAGGATCGATTCTATCATCGGTACTCGTCCCTGTTGACATTCCCAATTTCCCGACTCACCCTTTAGATAAAATAAGATCCCCTACATAACGGAGGGTAAAATCCTATGACAAGAAGCTTCATCCGTTGATCCCTCCCGCCCCGCGACTCTTCGTGGACTTAGTTCACTTTCTCCACTTCATTCTCTCTCAATTGTTGCCTTCAGAGCGGGAACTTACACAGGATGTGTGAGCATGTGAGTATGAAAGAAGCCAAAGACCTCTCGAACTCACTCACATCTTTTTACGTTCAATATTCAATTTTGTATTCACCTTGAGCGAGGGATCCTAAAAGCCTCCGACTCCCTGAGCACACTCTCGAGCTCTCCATGAAAATCAGCAAGTTTTAAAATTCACGCTGTTGTCTCACCCTCTCCCCAGACCGCCGTCTAAAACTCTACATTCACCAGAGTCGCCAGCACCTCAGCAAAAAATCCCGTTGCATTCGATTAAAATTCATCAAGGTCAGCTCGAAGATAAAACAACAGAAAGGATCAACTGCATCATCGGTGCTCGTCCCTGTTGACATTCCCAATTTCCCGACTCACCCTTTAGATAAAATAAGATCCCGTACATCACGGAGGGCAAAATCCTATGACAAGAAGCTTCATCCGTTGATCCCTCCCAGTCCTCAACTCTTCATGGATTTAGTTCACTTTCTCCACTTCATTCTCTCTCAATTGTGGCCTCCAGAGCGGAAACTTACACAGGATGTGTGAGCATGTGAGTATGAAAGGAGCCAAAGACCTCTCGAACTCACTCACATCTTTTTACGTCCAATATTAAATTTTGCATTCACCTTGAGCGAGGCATCCTAAAAGCCTCCGACTCCCTGAGCACACTCTCGAGCTCTCCATGAAAATCAGCAAGTTTTAAAATTCACGCTGTTGTCTCACCCTCTCCCCAGACCGTCGTCTAAAACTCTACATTCAACAGAGTCGCCAGCACCTGAGCAGAAAACCCCGCTGAATTCGATTAAAATTCCTCGATACGCTTGACTCACACAATGTGAAAATGCCAGTGAACTTTCATCCAGGAGTTAAACTCCAGTACATTGTTGAGTAAACTACAATCATTATTTCACAGCAAGGCAGAGTATTTGAAGAGGGAACAGTGAGAGAATAACGAAGAGGTGTAAGAAATACACTCGTAAAGTCGTTCCTGGTCTTTCTCTTCAATTTTTCACACTTCTCCCGTTATTCTTGTACTCGTTGGTCTCAACTTTCTTGAGCGGTTCTCGGAGCGACATTGTTCCCATTCCAAATAGCGATTTCCTCCAGTGGACATGGAATCATCGAAAAACTAATCGAATTTTCAATAGAAAATCAATGGAAATTCGGCAGAATTTTCAAGCAAACTCGCTAGCTTTCTCAACTGAAGAGGGTCTGGATTATGAGTTCAATGGCCTTTCCAACTCCAGCAAAATGATCCAAACCTTCAGATCGTACCCAGCGATATCCACCGCATCATTGGTGAGTCGTCCTAAACCGAACACGTCTAGACTCTCCATTTGTAGTTCCAGATCCCTCGAGATACTGCGGCACTCTTGTGTCTCCCGGAACGTCCCTCACTCGATTCCCTCCCCATCCTTTGATCTACATTCTCTCACCGGTCCCATTGACCTATCCACAACATCGATCCGCTTCCCACCGAGCATTATCTCAAAAAGGGAGAGAACCAAAGAGGATCTAGAGTAAACTATAAATGCTGCAAAACTTTTCACTGAGTGCAAAAACAACATCACAGCTAGGCGTGGCCTTCAACCGGTGTTTAGGAAGTTTTAATCCCCCTAGGTGTAAGTCACGTGAGACTAGCGCCTGGGAAAAATGGTTCTCCGGCTTTTGGAATCGGGGAAAGAGCACTCTAACTCGTTTAATACCTTTGATATCGAATACAAGTGGATAATTCCCTCTTTTCAATTATACATCCGATTAGTTCTTTTTTGGAATTCTCGGTTTACTATTTTCTTCTCTTGTTTATGTTATAGTATTGTTATGAAATAAAATGGCATTATGTTGATTTGATCATGGATTAACGCCCTTTTCGCTCTGCGGCTCATGGGAACTCAATAATTCATTGAATTCCTCAATGTGAATATTTTTCACTTTTCCCTCAATATTGGATGACCCTAAAAGTCTGTACATCTGCAATGTGTTCGTTATTCAACTAGTGTGCCGAAAAACCCTACTAATTTGTAGCAAAGCCTAATTCTCAAACGAGCTTTTCAGGAAACAGTGAACTCTCCTTTATTC